ATACATGCAATATTTGAGATTCGCGAAGACTTGCATGGGAATATGGCAGCTTACGTTCGCAAAATTTGGTAGATCATGAATTTGTAAAAGAAATACAGTGATGATAATCATATTAATGATGGCAATGATAATGATATACTATTCAAAAAACATCAACAATAACAACAACAACAATGATGATATTAGTGATAAGAAAGAGTGTTAACATGTAAAGACAAATTATATTGCCTTCGGCCTGGGTTTAAATAAGATTTGAAATTCCTCTTTTCAAAGTAGAATGAGAAAGACTATTCCAATAAAGTTTTATTCGCAGGACTCTGCCAGTTCACTCCCAGGACTGTATTAGTTCACTTTTAGGACTCTGCTAGTTCCCTCCCAGGACTCTATTTGTTCACTCCCAGGACTCTGCTAGTTCACTCCCAGGACTCTATTAGTTCACTCCCAGGACTCTATTAGTTCACTCCCAGGACTCTATTAGTTCCCTCCCAGAACTCTGTTATTTAACTCCCAGGACTGCTAGTTCACTCCCTGCATTCTGTTCACTCCCAGGACTCTATTAGGTTATTCCCAGTACTTCCTGTCCAGCTCCTGACTGAGAGCTCCTCATTAGCACAAGAAATACATAAGCGCCGTACTCGAGCAGCTTCTCAGATTAGTGAATAAATTAATTAACTGAGTTCGCTGCAAAGGGTCGTGCGGGTTTTTTTTCGCTATGCCCGATTGGCCATCACGACGAACCTGTGCGGAATTAAGAAAATAAAATTAGCGACGACCCTTATCGCTTATGATTATAAGAGCTTCTTTTTTGCGTAACGAGGCGCCGAAAGGGGACTTCTGAGGGTGATTAACCTCTTTACGGAAGGTTTAAGGGGGTGAAGAAGGGGTTGGAGGGAGGGGAGGGAAGGAAGGCAGGAAGGAAGGAATTGAGGGAGGGAGGGAGAGAAGAAGGAAGGAAGGTATTGAAGGAGGGAGGAAGGAAGAATTGAGGGAGGGAGAGGGGAGGAAGGAATTGAAAGAGGAAGGCAGGAAGGAAGGAAGGAAGGAATTGAGGGAGGGAAGAAAGGGAGAGAGGGAGGAAGAAAGGAAGGCAGGAAAGAAAGGAGGGAGAGAGAGAGAGAAAGAGATACACACAGCATATTATTGTTGGTAACACTGTCGGTATCCGGTGTTCCGCCTTTGACCGTGTGTGTGTGTGTGTGTGTTAATCTATGTGTCTGTATATGCATGTCTGTGAGTGTGTATGTATGTATTTGCTGAGAACCTTACTCAAAAGTAATAATTCTTCAATTATTTATTCCTAAACTAAGACCACTTGCGTTTAAACTTCTGTAAAAGAAAAAAAAAGAACAGACAGGAACACATGATACTCCCGGACAACATGATATAGCAAATGACATGATTTCTAAGCTTCCTATGCGTACATATGCTTGTCCTCCCCCCCCTCCCCTCTCCCTCTCTCCCCCCTCTCTCTCTCCTCTCCCTCCCCCCTCTCCTCTCTCTCCCCCCCCCCGTCCTTTATAAATTCAACCACCCAACCTTGCATATATTCCGAGTCAATTGACATTCAAAACTTTATTCGTGTTTATGTGTATGCTAGATACACTTGACAGAGATAGATCATTTCCTCAGAGGTATCACGGCGCGAGGACAGATGCTCCATTATTTATATATATATATATATATATATATATAGTATAATTTTTTTTGGGGGGGGGGGGGAAGGGAGAATTGGGGGGTTGGGAGATAGATAAAAGATGCAAGAGAAGGAGGAGGAAGAAGAAGAGGAGGGGCAGGAGGAAGAGGAAGAAGAAGAAGAAGAAGAGGGGGAGGAGAAGCAGGCGGGGTAAGGGGAGAGGAGGACGAGAAGAAGAAGAGGGGGAAACAGAACACCGGAGGGAGAGAAAGAAATAAAGAAGAAAACAGACAGACAGAAGCAAAGAGAGAGAGAGACAGAAAGATACAGAAACAGACAGAGAGAGAGATACAGAAACAGACAGACAGAGAGAGAGATACAGAAACAGAGAGAGAGACAGAGACAGAGAGATACAGAGACAGAGAGAGAGACAGAGAGAGAAACAGACAGAGAGATACAGAGACAGAGACAGAGAGAGAGACGAGAAAACAGAAGACAAGTCTCGCTCTTGAACCCCTGACCTTTTATCGTTCAACAAACACGGTAATGCAAGATCTACTTGACCTTTCGTGAACTGATGCTCTGAGCTGAAGAAAAAGAAATGGCACACATTTTTATAAATAGATAAACATGTATTGTGGTGTGTGTGTGTGTGTGTGTTTGTATGTTGGGGATTTAGGTGCGGGGAAGGAGGGGTGTATCTGTAGGCGTGTGTGGGTGTGGGTTATTGGATGCGTGTGTATGTGGATGTGTGAGTGTGTGCGTGTGTGGATGTGTATTTGAAAGAGAAAAGGAGAGCTAGTGAAAGAGAGAGAGAGACAGACAGACAGACAGACAGACAGACAAACACAGAGAGAAAAAGGAAGAGAAAGGAATTTTAATTAGACTACTTTAGCCTAATTGCATAAGATCTTTTCTTTCTTTATACTTGAGAAGAATTAAACGAGGTAAGAATTCTATATAAAAATAAATAAATAAATTACCAAACTTTTAATAAACGGACACACATAAATTTCCCTCAGTAGCAAAATTAGGAAGTAAACAAGTAAATGAAAAGTATTTTTGCTCCATTTTAGTAGAAAATTACTTCCTTACAAAATTACGAATTTCATCCTTGTACAACAGAGTAATGAATTTTGTTTTTCTCGAGGAAACCCAAGTTTAAGAATGACATTTTTATAGAAGCCAAATTCCATTCATGAAGAAGAGTAGAATAAGGTTAAGACAATAAGAGAAGAATAAAGGCTTTGGCTTTTCCATTTAGCAAACAAAAGGGCATTGCAAGAAGGGATGTGGTAAGCAGATATGAATAAAGAAAGATGAAAAATAAAAGACAATATTACAAAATAACATGAAAAGTAAAGGACATTATTGCAAAATCACGTGTCCCGTCCTTCCGTCAACAGGGAGTTTATGAGAAAAGTTTAACCTCACTCGTTTTCCCGCGCACGAAAACCGTTTTATTCCACGTGACAAACAAAACCGCATCGCCCAGAAGGAATTGAAACTCACATGTATATATACATACAAGAATATATATACACACAAGAATATATAAATACATAAATATGATAATATGTATACACACGAGAATATCGGAATAAGAAAAACAATGGCAGACGAAGTGACAAATTATCGCATCGAATAAGAGTAATGGAGAAGAGGTGTAAAGTCATTAATTTTGCCTCTCACTATGATTTTTTTTTATTCCTCTCCGCAGATAGTCATAGATTAGAATAATAATTAAAAAAAACACGAATTATATTTCTTAACAGAGTGAATGAAGTATAAAGTAATTCATCTGAAAAGAATACTTAAATTCTGTCTTTCTATAACTGAGAATTATTACAAAAAGCTATAAAGTGACCAATTTTGCCTTCCTCTGATATCGTTTCCTCCCTTTCCACGTGACAAACAAAAACGCATCGCCCATAAGGAATTGTTACAGATTAAAATAAAAAGATGGACTATTGAAAAAAACAAACGAATTCATATCCTTCCGTAATAGAGAGTGAATGAGATAAGTACAAAGTAACATAGAAAACAGGAATTCTATCCTTCTATAACAGGATATTTAAGAGAGGGTATTATCTATCTATTTAGCCTCCCACTGACACCGTTTCTTCCTTTCCGCGTGACAAACAAACGCGCATCGCTCAAACGGAAATGATACTCGCAGGTGGGAATAAAAACCAAAAACTGAAGAAAAAATTAAAGAGACAAGTATAAAGTAACTGATTTGAAAAAAAAGACACTAACTGTATCCTTCCATAACAAAGAGTAATTTAGTAAAGGGATAAATTAACTCATTTTGCCTCCCACTGACATCGTTTTCTCCCACTCCGCGTGATAAACAAACACGCATCGCTTGGAGGGAAAGTGATACTCACAAACTGGAATAAAAGACAAAAAATATATAAAAAGAAGTATTAACTCATTTGCAAAAAGACACGAATTCTAGCCTTCTAGAACAGAGGATATTTTAAGAAAAGGTATAAAGTATCTATTTAGCCTCCCGCCGACACCGCTTTCTCTCCCTCTCCGCGTGACAAACAAAACCGCATCGCCCGAAGGAACAAAAGCCAATAGCTGATCGTTCCCCCCGGCGTCTCCTTATGCTGTTATCTCCGCGCGCTTTGGCCTAAAAGGAAATGAGTTTTTAGAATTTATCACGTGTGGCTTTTGGACTGATCGCCGGCCAATGATCAGGGCGCCACGGGGGGGTTCGTGGGTGGATGGGTGGGTGGGTGGTAAGGGGTGGGTAGGCCTATGTCATTAGTCACAGGTGGAATTTGGGTTTCCAGGTGGGTAAGCGGATTAGAAAAGGTTCTGGGATTAGGTGATTGGTGAGGATTAGGGGGAGGGTGATTATACCTTTGGTGATACATATGCATACACCACACGACGCACGCGAACACACACGCACGTACACGCGTATCTGTATGTGTGTGTGTGAAAGAGAGAGAGGGAAATTGTATACATATAGGACTATCAATAAACTTTGGAATGGAATTATCAGGAAAACAAATCTGTGGAGAAGTTATTTACAAAATGTACTTTTAACTTTGCTTCATACATTATTTTCATTTAAATCTTTTCTACATTTGTCAACATGAATACGTGTCGTCCTTGCTTAAGACAGTGGATTTTCTACACACACACACACACACACACGCACCACACACACACACACACACACACACACACACACACACACACACACACACACACACACACACACACACACACACACACACACACACACACACACACACACACACACACACACACACACACACACACACACACACCGCAAACCCCAAACTCCTTATCCGATTCTAACAATGCCCCTTTTTTCTCTCTCCAGCGGACTCGAGCAGGACGGCCGAGGAGTCCAGCCGGTGTACCTGAGCTGCTCCTCGGGCCGAGTCGAGTGGCAGTATCCCCGCGCAGGACTCAGGGTCATCCTCCGGTCCCCCCACAAGGACCGGGACTTCCAAGCCTGCATCAAGGGGGACCCCAAGTTCGAAGGCGCCAGGGTCTATCTCGAGGGTTACCGCTCTCTCCTGCCGCTGTTCGCCCTCGACGACGGCCGCCCTCAGGAGCTGGTGCGCTGCTTCACGAGCTACAAGGGCCAGGCGGCGCTGTACGTCGAGGCCGAGCCCAGCGCCGACGACCTGAAGAAGGAGGTCGCCGCCTTCGACTACGACCTGCAGACGCTCGCCAAGGGAAAGATTTACGACCCGCTCGAAGGTGAGTCTCCGGGGAAGGATAGGGAAGGGGAGGAGGGGAAAAGAGAAGAGAAGAGAAGAAAGGGGGGGGAGGGGAGGAGGGGAAAAGAGAAGAGAGGAGAAGAGAAGAGGGGAGGGGATGAGAGAAGAAGGAAGAGAATAGAAGAAAGGGGAGGGGAAAGAAAGGGAGGATATGGGGAGGAGGAGGAGCAGGGAATAGTAGGGGGAGGGAGGAAGAGGAAGAGAGGAAGGGGAGGAGGAGGAGGAGAGGAAGAGGAGAAGGAGGAGGAGGAGCAGGGAATAGTAGGGAGGAGAGGAAGGAACGAACGAAATATGGGACGGAAAGACACATAATGAATGAGTAAGGGGGAGAGAAAGATAAAAGAAAGAGAGGCGAGAGAAAAAGAGGAAAACAAGAGAGAGAAAAGGAGAGGAGGGGGAGAACCCGAAAGGAAGAAGGAACAGACAAGGAGGAAAGGGAGTTAAGGAGAGAACCGGAGGAAATATATGTAATAGAGGAAGGAACGGAAGATGAAATGAGGTGATTAGGGAAGGAGAAGAGGAATGAGGAAGTGGGAGAAAAAAGAGGAGAGAAGAAGGGGTGTGTCAGAAAACCGTTAGTAGGAAACGCAAATATTACATTAACTGTTCTTATTAAACTACATCCGAAAAAATAATGAAATAAAGACTTCAAACAGAAAACATGATAACCAGGCTACGTAGATGTAGAATGATAGACAAATGAAAAAAAGAGAATAAACTACATGTTATAATGAAACTGGATAAATAGATAAAATGATTATGAACTGGGCAATATCGTCCTCTCTTAAAAGCCATTCTAGACATTTTAAAGACAGTCTATTTCTAAGATCTATTTCTAAATCCTAAATAGAGGGAAAGGGAGAAGGAGAGGGAAGAAGGAGAAGAAGGAGAGAGAGAGAGAGAGAGAGAGAGAGAGAGAGAGAGAGAGAGAGAGAGAGAGAGAGAGAGAGAGAGAGAGTAGAAGAGAAGAGGAGAGAGAGAGGATGGAGAAAGTTAAACGAGGAAAGAGAATGAAAAATCCGACAAAAAAATAAAAACCGAGAGAGAGAAAAAAAGAAATCAATCATATTTATCACATTTAGCGACGTTCTTCTCCCATACCCTTTTGCAACGCGAGATACACGCAACTATACCCTTCCATCCTTGTCCCTTCACCATTACCTCTCACCCCATACCCTTTCAGCCCCTACCACTCCACCCTCTACCCCTACCCGCTTACCCTCTACCTCTACCTCTTCACCCCCCCCTTCTCGCCACTCAGATGCCTCTGTGCTCCTTTCCTTCCACCCCAATATCTCCACTCTTCCCCCGTACCTCTACCCTTTTCCCTCCATCCCCGTACCCCTCCACCCTTTCCCTCTGCCCCTACCCTCTACCCCAACCCTCCACCCCCTACCCTACCAACCCACCCCTCCACCCCTACCTCTACCCCAACCCTCCACCCCCTACCCTCTACCTCCAACCCTCTACCCCAACCCTCCACCCCTACCCTACCACCCTCCACCCTCCCTCTACCCAACCCTCCACCCCTACTCTACCCCAACCCTCCACCCCTACCCTCTTCCACCCCCCACCCCACCCTCCACCCCTACCCTCTACCTCAACCCTCCATCCCGTACCCTCCACCCTTTCCCTTTCCCTACCTCTACCCCAACCCCTACCCTACCCTCCACCCCCTACCCTCTACGCTACCCTTCACCCTACCCCAAACCCCTCCCTCTACCCCAACTCCTACCCTACCCTCTGCCTCCACCCCCTACCCTCTACCCCAACCCTCTACCTCTACCCCTCCACCCCCTACCCTCTACAACCCTCCACCCCCACCGTGCCTCTGTGCCCGATGCCCCTACGATCTCATCTCCGCATCTGGCATTCGCATCATTTTATATAGCAGCTCGTGCCTCGTGCCCGGATCTCGCTCTCTGCCCTGCCCACGCGCCCTTCACCGCCCGCGCTCCTCCTCACCGCTCGCGCTCCCTCCTTCACCGCCCGCGCTCCCCCTTCATCGCCCAGCGTTACAGATCCTCGCTTGACTTGATTTTTTTATCGATTTTTTCTGCCTTATTTTCATTATTATCTTTTTTTTTTTTTTTTTGTTTTTTTGGGGGGGGGTATTTCTTTTATTGCTGGTATTTTTCTAAATTATTTTGGAGAAAAATCGTTGAAAAAGATAAGTAAAAAAAAAAACTCTGTTGATGATTTAGATATTGTTTTTGTTGTTGTTTTTTCTTGCTTATTTTGGAAAAAAAATCGTGAAAAAAATGAACAAACAAACAAAAAAAAGCGTTGGTGAAACAGCAGGAAAAAAAAATCTTGCTCTACGTAAAATAAATCATTTTTTTTCCTACTGTGATATTTTTTCTCCCGTCAACGCACAGTAGGAATCTTTGTGTTTATCTGTCGGATCTTATTTAAATACTTATAAATGTTTTTTTTTTCATAATGAATGGGGTAAGACATCTAGATATAGTGATATGACGGATGGATGTTCATAGTGTGTATATGTGTGGTGTGTGTGTGTGTGTGTGTGTAAGTGTAAGTATGTGTGTGTGTGTGTGTGTGTGTGTCTGATTGTGTATATGTATGTGTTTGTATGATTGTGTGTCTGTGTCTTTGTGTTTGAGTGTATGTATATGTGTGTTTAAGTGTATGTGCGTGCGTGGATGCACATGTGTGTGCTGTGTGTGCACGTGTTCATATACGTGTCAAGAAGAGTGACTGTAATTCTCCACAATTACAGTTACAGCAAATATACTAATGTGGCAACACCCGCTGAAGTCACGGCATCACATCCAGACTTCACATTATTTTTTATCGCTTTGCATCGCCTTTCGTGTTCCATTTATCCGCTGTTTTGGAAGAAGGAGATGAAGAGAAATGGGAAGAGAGGAAAAAGGGAGGGAGAGAGGGAGAGGAAGAAATGAGGGAGAGGGAGTGAGGAAGAAAGAGGTAGAAGAAGAGAGAGAGAAAAGAGGAACAGGGAGGTACGAAGAAAAGAGGAATAAGAAGATATGAAGGAAAGAGGAATAGGGAGATACAAAGAAAAGAAGAAGGAAGAGGGACAGGGAGATACAAAGAAAAGAAGAACAGGGAGTTACGAAGAAAAGAAGAGCAGGGAGAGAGAAAGAAAAGAAAAACAGGGAGATACGAAGAAAATAGGAACAGGGAGATAGGAAGAAAAGAGAAACAGACAGATACGAAGCGAGTAAGAAAAGATGAACAAGAAGAGAGGACGAAAAGAAGAAGGAAGAGGGGAAACTTGGAAATTCGTCTCTTGTGTTATTCCTGAACTTCTCGCGAGTGTAAACATCCTCTTTTGCGAGAGAAATTTTCGGGAACAAGGAAAACCAAACAGTTACTTTTTTTTTCTTCGTTTGTTTTTCTTCTTCTTCTTATGCATCTTCTTCCAGTTTCTTCTTCTTCGTCGTCGTCGTTGTTTTATTTGTTTTTGTTTGTTTTATTTTTTTTCTTAACGTTTTTTTTCGTCTTTTTCTTTTTTCTCGTTTCTTCGTCTTGTTTTCCATTAGTTGTTCTTCGTCGTCGTCGTCTTCCTCCTCCTCCTCTTCTTCTTCTTCTTCCTCTTCTTCTTCCTCTTCCTCTCCCTCATATGCTTCTTCTTCCTCTTTCTCCTCTTCATCTTCGTTCTTTTCCTCTTCTTCTTCCCCTTTTTCTTCTATTTATTTGTCCTCCTCTTTTCCCCCATCCTTCCTTTCTCCTCTTCCTCCTTTTCATTCATGCTCATCTTCTTCTACCTCCCCATCTTCTTTTTCTTTTTCTTCCTCCCCCTCTTCCCTCTTTCTTCCTTTTCCTCTTCTTCCTTGTCCTCCTCTCCCTCCTCCTCCTCCTCCTCCTCCTCCTCCTCCTCCTCCTCCCCCTCCCCTCCCTCCCTCCCTCCCTCCCCTCCCCTCCCTCTTCCTCCCCTCCTCCTCCTCCTCCTCCTCCTCCTCCTCCTCTCCTCCTCCTCCTCCTTCTCCTCCTCTCCTTCCCTCTTCTCCCTTCCCCCTCCCCCTTCTTCTCCACCCCAGAAGTATGATCTTGTTTATATTTGTTTTCAAACCGGATTAAAGCGATAATAAACCCTTCATAATATTCCTTTCTCTCTTGGAAAAGAACTTACGAATCCTAATATTTAATCCCTTATATCCTAGATTACTGATGCTTATAAGCTCAATAAAATGGAATCAAACCCCTTTATATATGAATTATAAGCTCAAAAGATCTGATATAATCTAATCCCTTTTATATATAAACTCCGGAAGAGAAAATCGAATCAAATCCCATTTATATATATATAAGCTCAGAAAAGTAAATCAAATCAGATCCTTTTTATTTACAAACTTTAAAGAATTGAATCAAATCCCGTTATATCTAAACTCAAAAAAGAAAATATAACCAAATCTCTTTTTATATATAATATAAAAAAAAAGAAAATGGAATCAAATCTCTTTTAACTATAAACTCAAAAAACAAAAGCGAAATAAAAACCGAATCGAATCTCATTCATATTATAAATGTTGTTTTTTCATAATGAATGGGGTAAGACATCTAGATATAGTGATATGACGGATGGATGTTCATAGACATTGCCCGTAAAATACGCACCTCGTAATATGAAAACATTAAAATATAAGTCTTTGTGGAGTATAAAGGCCTTTTCCTTCGATAATAAAGCACCGTTGCTGCTTAGTATGAGGCGAGCGAGGAAGCCGGGCAGTGCGTACGTGCGGCCGCGTCCTCTCGTGCAAGATGGTCGCTTCGTGGAAATCGTAGGTTGAGCATTTGTTAAGGTTCGGGAGAGGAAATGTTTCTTTGTGTTTATGTGTGGGTGTGTGTTTGTGGGTGTGGGTGAGTGGGTGTCGAAGGGGGTTTGTGTGTGTGTGTGTGTGTGTGTGTGTGGTGTGTGTGTGTGTGTTTGTGGGTTTGTGGTTGTGGGTGTGTGGGTGTCGAAGGGGGTTTGTGTGTGTGTGTTTGTGTGTGTGT